GTTTCCCGGGGCACTGGTAAGTATAGAGAAGGTGTCATTTGCATACCCTGGGCGAAAGAAATTGCCCATCTTGACCGACGTCAGTCTGACCATACATCCGAGGGACCGGGTAGGTTTAGCAGGCCTGAACGGTTCAGGGAAGACGACGCTGGTCTCCATAATAATGGGCGGTGATGAAGAGGGCGGTCTCAAGCCCACATCTGGCAGTGTCGCGCGCCATGCAAGGGTGAAGATTGGCCGCTTCTCGCAGCAGTCGGTCGAAGAGCTCACTGCGACCGCGGCTGCCAACCCTCAGACGACAGCGCTCCGGCACGTGATGGAAAGTATTGGCGAGGGCGCACAGGAGAAGGATGCGCGGACAGTGCTGGGTGGACTGGGACTCCATGGCCAGACGGTGTCGGATGTTCCGCTCGTGCTCCTGTCGGGAGGGCAGAAGGTCAGGGTCGCACTTGCCAAGTTGCTATGGCCGCCGCCGCAACTGCTCATTCTCGACGAGGTGACGACGCACCTGGACGCTGATACTATTTTGGGTCTCGTGATGGCGCTGCGAGAGTACGATGGAGCGCTGCTGGTAGTGACACACGACCGGTTCTTCATGAGGTGAGATTATTGCAGTCAATAAATAGAGTTGTTACTAACACCCCGCAGAACGGTGGTGCAGAGGGAGTCGGCGTACAAGCTAGCGCCAGGGGTTCACGCGTCCGAGGGCGAGGCTGACGACAGCAGCGAGTCGGAGGATGAAGCGCCAGGGTTAGCTCCGGGGAGCGTTTTTCGGCTGACTAGAGGGCAGCTCAGGAAGCTTGACGGCGGCATGGACGAGTATGAGGACATTGCGGCGCGGACAGCGGCGAGGCTGGCCAGGGCGGAGAGTAAGTAGAGCGAAAATAGACGCGAGTGCAATTTGTGCGTCGCGTCCAGGTCTCGTGAAGGTCGATGTCTGGCGACTCTGACAGGCCGGCCCTTTGGTTCGGGCGGGCTGGCTTCCCGCTGCACGCACGGCTGACTGCGCGCCTCCTGCGCGCGCATCATAGTGCCCGGCAGAGGCATTAGGGGCAGCTTTTCGCGCCAAGCCGCAGCGAGATAATATTGCTCCAACGAACGCGTCGCTCCTTTTGCCTGCAGCGTCCAATTGGTCTCCTCTCATTAGCCATTGGCGTGCACTATGCCCATCTTTCCTTGTATACTACCCCTTCCGACCGTAATAGTAATGTCATAGCTGCAGCTATAATCCTTCTACCCAAGGCACGCATGAACGACTCTGCGTATCGAGATAAGCTCGAGCTTGGGAACCCTGAGTAATAATATCTGCAAGCCATCATGGGCGAAACCGAATCGTCCACGCCTCGCTCCACCGCCGAACCACAGCTCAAGGCGGCCAAGGACAAGAACTGTCCCTTTTGCGGCCAGGCCTTCACCTCGTCCAGCCTGGGACGCCATCTGGACCTGTACATCCGCCCCAAGAACCCAAAGGCGCCCGATGGCGTGCACAATGTCGACGAGATACGGAAGCTGCGAGGCGGCATCACACGGCGGCAGGCCAAGGGCAGCGTGTCAACACCGCGGAGAGACGACAGCGGCACAAGCACGCCCGCAAACAAAAAGCGCATAGCGAGCGAGGATTCGGTCCTCGTGCAGAGCCCGGAAGACGACGATGAGCCGCTCGAGGTGGGCAAGACGAGGGGGCAGTTCAAGGATGTCAGCTGGGGAAGCGGCCACCGGCCCTCACGACTCAACACCAAAACACCAGACCCGCGCCGGGACGTATCGCGGCAGTCGCGAAAGGCCGAGCTGGACCAGAGGCAGAAGTCGAACGAGGAGAATGAGATTGCGAGTGCCACCGAGATGGCGCTGCGGGAGCTGCTGAAGAGCGTGCAAGTAGCCAAGTATGTCACCAATTCACTCACCATATATCCTGCTAACACAAACAGCGCAAAAGCATCCGGCTCCGGCCTCTTCGAATTCGACCCCTACACCCAGAGCTTCCCCTCGCTGTGCCTCCAGATCCTCCCCGCGCCCTCTACCCTCTTCTCCCCCACGCCCTTTCCCACGTCCGAGTCATGGTCCATCACCCCGCCGGGACAGAAGCAGTTCGAAGCGCTGAATAAGCAGGTTCGCGAGCGTCTGCTTGCCTACCAGCGCCAGCGCCAGATCAACCAGGTCTATCCCTCGGGCTCACACTCTTCCGCTCCTTCCACCACCACCTCGCCCCTGCCCACCCCACCGCTCTTCGACCACGACCCACAACGCCTCTTTGGCCACATTGCAGACGCCTTCCACCACTGGACACAGCAGTCGGATAAGACGAGGCAGGAGTGCTGGCAGGTCGAGATACTGCGCTGCTATGCCCGTGCCGACGACAGGCGACGGGAAGCCGAGGTGCAGCTGGGGAATGCACGCAGGGAGATTGAATACCTGAAAGCCAACCGCTGGACCTCAGGCGCTCCCGATGTATCGCCCATCAGCATCAATCTTGGTACAGACACGGCTCGGGAGCTTGCTAAGCACGGCATGGACTACCGCAACTGGGACTACGACCGCCTCATCGACAAGTGGCGGACCGCTATACGCGAGAACAGGGCCTCGGTCTCCGGTATGGGCGCGCAAAAGCCATTGCCCGGTGGTACCAGTACCAGAAGCTGCTCCATGGCTAGCATCCCACCACAGTTTGCTACTGTGAACCAGCCCAGGCAAGGCAGCCCAATCAAGGTCGAGTCCAACATGCCCTTCAGCGCGCCGCCCACCGTGTGTGGTGATGGAGACTGCGATCAGGTTGATGCGGAAGGCGACGATGACGACGACGACATTGACCTGACGCCCCAAACCATTGAGGAAGATGACTCGATGCATCAGATGCAGCACCAGGCCCAACAACAGGCCTTGCACCACCCCCAGCCCCAACATCACCACGGAACACCCCTCCAACCCACCCCACCGCATCCTTCGCAACAACAGTTTCAGCCACACATGCAACCCACCCAGCACATCACGCAGGCCCAGATTGCCCAAGCGCAGGCTCAAGCCCAAGCATGGGCAGCCGCACGCCAGCACATGAACCAGTCACGCAACCAAGACTTTCGGCCCCACCAGCAGCACCAGCTCTCGCCCCATGTGCAGCACGTCGGCTCAGCTGACAGCAGTCGCCGAGAATCGCTAGCCATGATGGACCCCCACGCCATGAACCAAAACAACATGAGCGGCATGGGCAACTCCATGGGCATGTCAAGCGGCATGGACGGTCTCGACAGCCACCAAGACCAATTCCTGCGCATGGACATGGGCATGTCAACGGGCTTTGTCGGTTCCAACGACCCCAGCGTCTCGATGGGTTGATCGAACTCTCGAAACTGTTTGATGCTGTTCATATAACAGCGAAAATTGTTCACCAAACCGGCGTCGGACTCTTTCGGGCAAAGGCGTAACGTGATACACGGAACGCGATACACGGAACAGTCCACACTCTACTGCGATATTTCCCTTTTCTCCATCTCCGACATATCTCATATCTACCGCAAATTTTCGTTTGTCGTTTCTTATCTTTCTAACTACTGCTACTCAGCTCGGCTTTTCGCTATACCCATTATACCCGGCCTTGCAGCTTGATACCCCCAGTTCAATTTCCTTTATCAACCAGAACGGTATTTTTACTTACCGCAACATCTCTTACACATATATACGTACTAATAAGCCTCTTCTCCTCTTTCTTCTTTTTTGTACTCAGCTATCGAGATTGTTATCAGCATCAGTTTTTTTGTTTTTCCTATGTAGATGTCTACACAAATATGCCTTCGTTGGCACTGGCGGGCAAATAGTCGTTGTTGCACCGTATCTTGGGAGGTCTTTTGTGCTGTTTTAAGTTGTATATACCCAACACCAAACTTTTTCACTTGTTAGATATTAGAGAAATATGGGGTGGATTGGATTGGATAGGATGGGGGGTGGAGTGGGTGGAAGAATCGATTATACTAAAATCTTGAATGCGTCTATTCCTTTTGTTTTGGAGAAAGGATGATAGAGCGTGTGTACTGCTGATGTCGAACAGAAGGAGATGAGATGTGCTGAGTGCAACCGCATGGTACCGCCAACGCAAGCAGTTTGAACGAATCCAAGATGACGCACTCATCTTCATCATCATCAACATCATTCACACTAGGAGGACACAGACGCCACCGTCATACCCCCTACGCAAATGCATTCATCGAACAACGACATCCAGAATCAAAACAAGCCCCGTGCATTCGCCCCAAGTCCGTCAACAGCAAAGCCATCACGTACAAGAAGATAAGCACGGTAACGAGTGCCAAGATGACCGCCAGCGCTCTCACCCTCATCTCAGCACCACAGGTGGTCTAGCTGCCTTGATACGGAGTCAGCGGTCTTCATTGCTGCATCGCTTAAATCGCGTAAATTGGTAATAATGTAGCGGAGTCGTCTTTTACGGCAGCGTCGTTTCCCGTCTGCGCAGAGGGTGAGGCGGAGGGTTGATCGGGCGTAGAGGATGCGTTTGCGGAAACGTGCGAGGGGGGCCATGGTGATATGGAGCGTGGAGGGGCGGTGTGGAAGTGGGGAAGGATAAGAGAGTGTTGGCGGATTGAAAGGTAGGCATAGGTGAAGTTTGGTGTGCATTCCGTGGGTGTATGGAGAAGCAGCTGGGCTTCCCATGTGATGTGAGACATGGACCTGTGACGAAGGCACCGGAATATTGGGTTGGGGATACAAACTGCTGAGCGGGGTGAAGTTCGCGTTCACACTCAGAGCGTCATGCTTTACCGCTGGTCTATCTCAACTGGGTTGAAATCAGAACCGAAAAACCCGACGGCATGTCTGGAGCACCACGTGGAAACCGAGGAAACAGTAATGGCCGGGGAGCAAGAAGTTCCACTAACTTCGGTTTCCGTGAAATAGGTAGAGGAGGCTTCAATAACACTTGGACTGGGGAAACGTTCAACAATTTCCAAGGTGGAAGGGGTAGAGGAGTTGGCTACAGCCTTCCGACCAGAGGTATGGGAAGTGGTACTAGGAGAGGAGAGCCATCGTCCGTTTCAGAACAAAATGCACAGATCGAGAAGGACTGGCTCAAAGAGAATCAGGTACCCAAGGGGCCGAGGGCCGACCGGCAGGAGGGAGAGGAGGCATCAGCCGTCCCACAACAAGATACACAACCCGAAAACGACCGGATCAAAGAGAATCAGCAGCTGATACCTACGGAACCAAAGGCTGACAGACTAGCGAAGACTTGGCAGACAGGAACCAGGCAGACAGGAACCAGGCCCGTTCCCGAACAAGACACACATATCAAGAACGATCGGGTCAAGGAGAACCAGCAATCAATACCCACGGAGCCGAAAGCTGACAGACTGGCGAAGAGTCGGCAAAGAGAAATTGAACGAGATCTTTACAGACATGCTGCAAGACGAGCATACCACCTTCTCCGTCCTATACAGAAGCATCCACGCCGGGAAAGCATAGAACATCCTACCCCGATATACCGTCGTTCACGCTCACCCGAAGAAGAACGAGAATTTAATTCTTCTTTTCCCCCACTTCCCTCATCACCAGCAGCGAACGTAGGTCCGCCGCCGGGAAACCAAACACCAACATCTGTCCCCGCATCTGCCAGACCCGCGCGAAGGGAAGCATGTTCGACCAATCCTACGGAGAGGACATTTCGCAAGGTAAGCGCGGCTTCAACGTCAACACCAACGGGCTCAACGGAGGGTGACGACGGAAACCTCTACGATCCGGATAAGACTGAAGAGGAGAAAGAGAAGATTCGGCAGGAAATCAATGAGCACAATAGGGGCCTGCTGGACCCGCCATGGTCCGGTCCGAGCCTGGGTTCTGAGATGCAGGACATTCAGCGTGGTTAGATCGGTATCTCGTACGTTGTTTCCTGTGAAGCTGGATGAAGCAATCTCATCACACCTATGTATACAAGATGATCACGTCTCTCGCGAATGTTTGAGCTCTTGCAATGTCGATAAGAAAGGTACTGTGCCGATAAGTGAAGGTCACCGAGACGTGCCTTCCTCAACCTTGGGGGTGACTGCCCCTTCAACAACCCCATGACAGCATTTTCCTCTTTCAGCCCATGACGTCCGAAACTTACGATGGCAGCTCATTTGCGCCTGCCATCAACGACGACAACCATTCCAACCCACATGAAGTCACTTCCGCATTCCCGCCTTCACCTCTTCTGCATTACTGTTACCGCCGTGCATCACTCAGCGTACGACATTCTCGCAAACAGTTCCTTCAAACACACACAGCATGACGGCTACCACTACAGAACAGACGACTACTACAACCATTAGCAAGCATGGAACGGCGAAGAAGTGGCTGCAACGGCATCTTCGCAAAGTGGCATCGCGACAGACGCTGAAGAACGATGAGGGACCAATTGAGATACGGCGAAAACCATCAGTCAGGCGGCCGCGTACGGCACCTTCAACAGGAGCGACACCGAGCCTGCAAGACGCACCAGCAGTACCCCCGCTCCCGATACTTGTAGAGCGGGTGTCGCCTCGACCGCCGGTTCTACCTCCTCTTCGTCCAGCGAGACCTGATTCTGGCGTGATACGGGACGTCAATGCCTGGCTCGATGCTAGCATGAACACGCCTTCACCCCCGCTCATGGGAGGCCTTTCGTATTGGAGAGCAGCGACAAATGTAGGTGCCAAAGACTCGGCCGTGGCTCAGCATGCTATTCCCGTGATTGGAGCACCCGAAGTCGCCAGACCATCGACAGCCACCAGTCAACACGGAAAGTCGTTCCTTCGTTGCGCCAAAAAGATGCAGGTTCAGATGCCTTCGCTTTTACGAACCAAGTCTCAGCGCCAGGCATGTCGGAAGCAAATCAACAGACAGTCAGCATCGATGCCACTCTTAGCTATCTCCTACGAGGACGTTGCGGAAGCCCCTGGTACCATGCTCATGTCCCGATCTGGATCGCTTCGCCGCCCCGTCACAAGGCCATCGACACGACATCCTTCGACGCGCGCCAGTGCGCTTCTGTCGATCGACCAACAGTCGCAGCTACCCTCCCGGATGGGCACCCCAGCGAGTGCACGACCCGGCGATACAGAGAGCGTCTTTGAGCGCCGTCTCAACGCCATATTTATGCGCACGGCACGAAGCGCAGACAGCACTCGGCCATCGACAGCTGCGGCCGGTCTCATCCGCGAAGACTCGATGGGCGACCTTTCCGATGCCCCGACGTACTTCTCAGGACCTCCACCACCTTCTTACCGGTCGCGCCCTGAGTCTCTGCTCAGCACTTCTTCTTTCGGCTGCATCGATGGCATGAACCCTACCCAGCGACAGATAAGCCAGCAGCGAGCGGCATTACAACGGGGAATGAGGTGCAAGCTGAAGAGATTCGCTCAAGGACTTGCGACATGAGAGCGACATGAGAAGCGACGACAAGGCAGAGGCGAAGTGGAGGCAGCAGCAAACGACTTGTACAGAGTGGGCCACGGAACTATGATGATGACTGACGAAGGGATGACCGGAAGACATATACCATATACGAGCACATGACTATACGACTGTTTACCTTGGAGAGCTGGCATCTTCATACCCATAACAGTGGGGTTACTCTTTCAGTCGGTACACTGAGGGATGCGCAAGGCGCGCGGTATTTAGCACAACTGCATCAGATATAAAGTAGGGTCTTAGTTTATAATAGATAATGCAGATACAGCACAGGATGTGTCGTGAAGTGATGTTGGAATGCGCGGTAGTGTAGAGGTGAGAGCACGGTCATATGACGTGGGGACGGGCCGCGGTGAACCTAAAGCGGTTGGGGCGTTTTCACCGCCTACTCATTTGATGGCCGGGCATGGACTCCACCATCAACATTAACATCATTGGGCCCAACGTGGCACGCTGTACCACGTCTAACGCTCCAACGCACACAATTGAATCTCCATGGCCGCCCGTTGATCCGCTCGGCTGCCAGCACAACGAAACCCAGCTGGCTGCTCCACTCGACTCCTACGATCCGCAGACTTGCATCATTACGTGCAGCTCCCACAGCCAAACGGCTCCCCGACCTCACCTCCCTCGACAGCGCGCGAACGTAAGCATGGCCTCGGCAGACGATTCTAATTCGCGGCCCCAGCGGCCAGCTGCCATGACCAGGCAGTCGTCGTCGCAGTCGCACATCTCGCAGTCGCCGTCCGAGGGCGCCCAGCGCTCAGCCCATCACAAGAGCCAGCGCCATCATGTCGTCGGCCAACGCGTGCAGAGGAATACGTCCTTTGGCAAGAACCTCAACAAGCTGAGCAAAGCCGAGAAGCAGGCCCAGCAGGCGCTCCAGGGCGCAGAAAACACCGGGCGACACCACCGCCGCTCGCAGTCGGGCAATTCCATTTCGGCGCCCAGCAGCCCACACGCGCGTCCCGGAATGAAGCGCCATGCGTCTTCCGGCGCCGTTGTGAGAGCAAACACGCAGCAAGCAAACCTGCGCAAAAACCACTCGAGCGGCCATCTCCCGCCGCGGCAAGGGCATGCGAAACACGCGCTGAAGGGGTCCAAGAACGAGAACGCTACTTCCAAGCGTGCGCTCGCGACTCCCTCTCGGTCTCGGCAAAGTTCTCCGGAGCCACACGCCGCGGTCCACTTTGACATGCCCAATGACGACGAGGAAGGAGACGAGGGCGGGTGGACCGAAGAGAGTGCGTCACAGTCGCCCACTACTACCCGATCCAACACGCGCTCCAACTCGGTCATACTCGAGGCACAACACAGAGCGGCGGAGATCAACATGGAGAAGAATAGAGGAGAGCCGCAACAGTCGGCTGGTATAGTTCGAGAAGCGCCCAGCCAGGCGACTCAAACGCTCACCGACCGCACGCGCACAAACACGCAGGTCAACGGCGGGAGCTCCTATCAACATTCTCGGCCTCCAGATGCTGATATGATCACATCGCGACTACTACAGCGCAGCGCCTCACACCATGTTGCTCCTCAGACATCGTCAGTCGCTGCGACCGTCGTATCCTCCTCCGATCGTCATAATCTGCTCAGTCACACAGCTGGGTCTGTTGGATCTACCTTGGTCGACACACCGGGGCACAACCTGGTGTCGCGCTTCATGGACGGAGATGGTTCTGCTGGGACACCTCACGATGGCGAGTACATGGCTGCGCATCAGCTCAAAGACGACACCGATGAAGGGGAGGTGGACAAGATCAAGCGCAACAAGTCCATGCCAAACTTCAAGGGCGGCGCGGACACACCCTCCAAGACGCCTCAGCGCTCTGGCACGACTACGCCAACCAACCTACCCCCATCGCGGACACAGCAGAAGCTCATGCTTCAACGTGCGTCGTCCAACATTGAACCGCAGAAGCTCGTTCCCGTAACGCTACCCCGCACGGGCGGTCCCACATACCTTCAGTCCAGCATCCACTACAATGGCAATGGGGAGGGGCGTCTAGATCCACGCCTGCAGCAGCAGTTCAACCACGTCGCGGTTGAGTACAATGTCGTGCGAAGATACCGCAACCCAATTGCAGACGCGCTCGCAAGAATCTACCAAACCCCTGGCATGTCACGCAAAATCCGCGTACCCAAGTCGCACGGCGCAAACGGCTTCACGACAGGAGCCAGCAGCCTGAGCACAAGTTTCAACGAAAGCGGCGTCGAAACAGATGGGACGGGCTCGCGGAGATCACGAGTCAGTTTCGACCATGATGCAGGTCGCGGCAAGACTAGTCGCGACGAGAACGACTTTCAACGGAGTTTCGAGAGTGACCAGGCGCGCAGCCGAAACGAAGCCGAGGAGATCTGTCGCCGTTTATGGGAGAGTGCCGAAGTAGTCGAAGCCGACTGAAGACAATAGTGTGGTTTGTTTGGCGACGACGGCGCTGATCAAACATTCACGACTCGCAGCGCGGCGCCTCTGTTTGCGTCTTTGCGACTATTGTGTGAGGGAATTGCCAAGGCTGTTTTACTGTGCAGGTTCGTGCGTTCGCTTGCTTCCCTTTCTCTCTGCATTTTGCCGTAGTCTGCGCTGGGGGTGAGAGGGAATGAGCGTCTTTGTTCTCCCATCGTGGACTGCACGCACGGGTTGCTATGGCGCAAGGGGGCTTTGTCTAGTCTGGCTGGAAACAGCATGGTGTTGGGGAAGAGGGCATTTGCGAATATTGTCGCGCCGGCAATGAAGCCGAAGAGACATGCATGAAGTCGTGGTGGTGGTGGTCGTTGCTGTTGCTGCATTTGCATTTTGCGCTCAAACTAACTTTTTGCGCGTGGCACAGAGTCGTGGTTCCCCGTCCTAAACCTTGCGACTGGCGGAGGCGTTTGGCATGACACGACACACAACACACGACCGTTGGTTCGATCGAGGAAACGAAAGCGAGTGCGATGGATGGAAGATGATTTATTGTCAAATTTGCGCGCGCGCGCACCCTCGATTTCAATCTGCCGTCCGCGACCGAATTGCAAGCATGCGAGCCTCCCAAGGTCGATTGCACAGGCGCGCACTTGCTTGGCTTGAATTGCTTTCATTTGAGAAAGAGCGGAAGTTAGGAGCTGGATTTGCACTGGCTTCAATGCGATGGATGGGTCACGATGCGAAAGGCGGAAATGAGACAAGAAAGAAGCCCATATTGTGTACTAGTAATGGTAGGGGTAGTGTGCGGGCTAGGTAGGGAGCCAATCATGCGCCATGCTCGCTTGTGTAATTGTAATTTCAATCTTGCCAGCGGAAGATCGTTACTTGTTCCTGTGTGTCAGTGGGTTTTTTGATTTTCCTTCACGATGATGCGACTTCGCATTGATGGTGATGTGTTGGCGAGCGCATCTGGACGCTTCACATGCTACTACTGTGAAGATTACTTTGAGTCACAAGATACATTTGCGTGCATATGTTGAGCAAGTACTACGCAAGCAAAACTCTTTGCAAGAAATTCTCTACACAGTTCCACACCACCATCACAACAATTCTCTCATCGCCTCGTTGTACTCCGGAGTACCGTGTCTTCCGCGTCCAGCACGCCAAGGTGTCTAGGCAACAATAGCCTCGTCTTGCCGCCGACCACGTTGTTAACCTCACCCCGAGGGCTTTACATGGGATGGGTCTGAGACGAAGGGCGCTGGTTGGCTTGACTGTGTTACCCAGAACACATGTCGCAACGGGTAGCGTGCCACGAGTGCGCGAGCTGAGTCCGGTGCGGTTGCGGTGTAATAGCTAGACGAGATTTGTCGTGCTGGCTCCAGTCACGTTCGCCCCGGTGTACAGCATCCAGCAGTCGGTCGTGCTGGCCTAGCTGCCTCCAGTCGCGTTTCCGCCTTGGAGGCCGACAGACGGCACGATTCGCTGCGCATTGTTTCAGCGTCCGTGCTTTGAGGCGCGACACTGTGGACTCAGGCTACTCGGGCTGGAGAGGAACGTGGAACGCATGGGGTGAGAGAAGTTGCCTGGGGTGATGGGCGTTGAAACTTGGTCTTGAGCATGGTGAGGATCATGGGGCGTGAACCTTGAGTTCGCAGATGAGATGGGCGATGACAGCATCTCACCTGGGCAGCGACTTTCCTCAAGGTTGCCCCTAGCGATGGGAGTGAGAAGTGAGGTCACCACCCGCCCGTCACGAGGATGCAGCAAGCGTGCAGCACGTTGGCCATAGAGTGGGTACCTCGGTAGTTCAAGCCCAGCGCTGCACCTCAGGCCAACCACAGGAGCTTGCGCGGACAGGGATGCAGTGCAGAGATTTGCCGTGGCCGCCATTGCCAAGCACCAGATCGGCAGCTTCCTTGCTCAGGTACTCCCGTTAGCACGCCCGAACCTGCGTTAGCGCGCCCAGGGGGACCGAAATTGCGCTTTGGCAGTGGGAAATTGCACTGGCGGCAAGGATGCTAGGAACACGATACAAGGCACCGGGGGCGGCCCACCTTGCCCTGCCCGTTGTTTCCCCTTCACCCTCCTCAAACGTTGCGAGACAAACCCTCTTTTCCTCTCTCACGATCTTTTAAAGCTTTAAGCTTACCCACACTCATTACTGCGACAAGTACTATCCTTGATATCTCACTCTCTCTATCACTTGGTCCAAGACTATCCACACTGCTCTCTCGCATTCCAAATAAAAACAAATCACCGGAGCGAAGCTCATTAGCACCTGCATAACACTTGCAACCCTCACTTCTTCTGATTCGACATCGAAGCACTGCGCATTCACAGTCGCATATCCAACCACCACAACAACTACCTTCCTTCACCACCACCACCAAAATGCGCTCCTTCACCCAAATCATCACCGCGCTCTTCGCGCTCCTCGTCTGCGCCTTCGCCCAGGAAGACCAGTACGACGCGACCGTCTACATCACCAGCACCGTCTACCGCGTCAACACCGTGACCGCGTCCTCGTCATCCCCCGCCGGCTACACCGCCGCAAACAGCACCAGCACCATCTCCGCCACGCACCCCACCATCGTCCCCTCGTACGCCGCCGGCAACACCACCGCCAGCATGGCCATGCCCACTGTCTCCGGCCCCATGGCCAGCGCCTCCGCTTCCATGCCCCCTCAATTCGAGGGCGCCGCTTCTTCGCTCCAGATCAACGGGATGGTTGTTGCGCTCGCGGCTGGTGTCGGGTACCTCGTTCTATGAACGTGAGATTAACGGTTTTTCGTCATCAGAGACTGGCAGCGCATGTCTTTGATTCAAACATAAACCCTTTTTCTCATGTTAAATTGTTTTCTAAACAACACCCATATCACGAGGATGTATGTCCGTTTACGTCTTGTCCTGCCTTCAGTTTGCGCTTTGCATCATACCCCCTTTTTACTTTCCCTGGACTTGTCCTCGGGTACATTTGTTCTATGTTCTAGGATTACCGAATCCTCCCGTCTCATTACCCACACACACTCCTTTGTAATCACACACTATCTTTCTCTTGTCTGCGACGATTGACGAAACTTCGTGGGATTATTATCAACAACTACTGGGTAATACTGGAGCTTTGGAATCTTGCCTTTGTTTGTAGTCGACCGACCTCTTCCTTTTTGTTACGTTGGTTCGACCTTGTGTTTTGTTATACCCCCCCTTTTTAGGCGCGCGATTAGGACGCTGCTATGCGAATGCGATATCTCATCACATGACATACGTACTACTTGGAGGTCCCATACTCTGTACCTGGTTGACCGCGGCTTGCCGCACACCTCTTCGTTCTGTACTGTGTGTCTGTCTTCGCTTGCTTTCTCTGCGCGGTCTCTATGATTTGCGGCTGCCTACTTCTCTGGTGGAGCTGGAGTTTGGTGATACCCCGATACCTACTTTTTTGAGAGTGCGATTTAGCTTGGTGTTCTTCTTTGAGAGAGTGGAGGAGATGATAGGATAGGATAGTATAGTTGAGAACGAAGAACTTACTTGTTCCATTGATTTGACTCTTTCTTGATCAACGTGACTGTGTGTGTGTCTAATAACCCGCCATCGCCATTGCAATCGCGATCCCAGCATTCCCGCATCTTCACCGCCCATCACGACCACAACCAACACCTACCAGCCATCCATCACCGATCCAAACCCGAACCCGCCCGACCGTAACCACCGTATTTACCACACCCAGTCATTCATTCTCCCCATCCCAACCCTAAATTACTAATACCACCGCTAGTCCGCCTATCCGTTCGCCACACAGCAAAAACAGCCGAACATGTCGATCGCTATTACGGCCCCGACCGAAAGAAAGCAAGTACTTTGAACGGACGCAGGAGCTAGACGCTGCTAGACAGCGCACGGAGGTCTAGAAAGCGAGACTGTGGGGATATGTTCGGCAATGGTTGCCGAGTAGATAGGAGGGTGTGGTGGAGTTGGTGGTGACATGGGCGGTGAAGATGCGGTGATTTTGCGAGATGGAGATGGGGGTTGGTCAATTGGGCGAATGGGAGATTGACGATCGTGATGGAGATAGGTTTAGGAAAGGTGATTGTGTGAAAAAGGAGGAGGATGGAATGTAGGGTAATGTGGGCATGTGGTGTGTTTTCTCAGTAGATAATGTTGTGGGTGGTCTACGAGTCCGACGGCTGGTCGCATGTACTCGATTTCGCTGGCTGGCATGAGCGCAGATTACGGTTCAAAGTTGAGGTTTCCATACTGTTGTTGTTTTTTGGTCTTGAATTACCGTCTCATCATCCTTCTCTTTTACATTTCACTTTATGGAAGCGTCTCATGATATGCTATGGTACATCAAAATCTCAACTCACACCCATCTCTGTCTTCTTCTCTCTCCTCCCAACCTTATCACTCCCATCATCACCGATAACTCCCCCCCACCGGCCCCTCCAACCCAAAACAACTCGCAAAATAACTCACCGTCCCCGCCCAATCCGTAAAAAGCCCCTTAACCCCCACCTCCCTAACCAGCACATCCAGCACCTCATAGTACTGCCCATCATGATCCACCACATCCGCAATACTAGCAAAGTAATACTCCCCGTCCCTCTTCACATTCGCCAACGGCCCGCTCCTTTCAAACGTCCAAGCGATAATATCCATGCCATTCGCTTTGATCGCTTTCGCGTACTCGCTTTCCACAATCGTCTTGTTGTCCGACCCGCCGATGGAGAGCAGCATGGGAAGAGAGGGCGCGATGATATTCACACCTGCGGCGCGCGCGGTGGATAGATTCGCAAACCCAGCCGCAAGGTCATCCGGTGTATCAAACTCCTGCAGATACACAGCCTGAGCACCAAAGTCCTCATCATTATCAATCCAATACACCACATCCTCAAACAAGAAACTCTGCGGCCACACGCGATCCGCACTTATCCCCTTCAGACGGAACGCGGATATCATGTCGGACGCGTATTGGGCCTGTGTGTAGTTTCCAAGAAAGGGCATGGGGACGGCTGCGGGTGGCGTTTTTAACTCGGGGGTGAAGTTGCGGTAGCCAGGGTAGGAGTCTACGAGGTCGATGTATTGGTGCAGGGTGAGGGTCTGCGCGCATGTGTCGTAGAGTTCTGTGCGCCAGAGAGGGGTGCCGGCTTGGTAGGTGAGCGGGGTGGTGGCGGAGGCGTTGAAGCCGTCTTGTTTGCTGCAGAGGGTGGTGACTTTGTTTTGTTAGTTTGCCTTGACATCGTGGGCTGGTGAGATGGAGGGGAGGACGTACATTCATCAATCGTGATGTCAGATGTACAGCATAATGCATTCGCGGGACTCGTTGCATTCGCCGGAGTAAACGGCGTGGTACATTTTGCTGCCAACTCCGGCCTAAGCAGGATATCTGTCGTTCGATGTAGATCGCACAGATCGTGTCTGCACACCAATCCCCTGTCGCTTGTGAATGCTACATCACATTCCAAGATACCGGCGCCCATTCGCGCACCGGCATCTTGAGACCGGATCGACTCTTCTGGGAATTGGAGTGTTCCTCCACCGCGGTGGCCGATCGTGAATGGGGAGATGGAAACTGGAGTGTTTTCACACGACTGCAGTTTCCGTTTCAACGGACTATCAGTCATATTGCTGATGATGTAGTACGGTCGCGGCCCGACAGAAACGAGATAATCCGCCGCATTTTCCAGAGGCGTATGATGGTGCTTGCTAACAGCCGGGTAACCCAGAGCTGTAGCAGCGAGACCCAGTACCAGAAATTGGCTCATGGTGACGAATAGAAAGTGACTTTTCGTAGGAACAAAAGGACGACAAGAAATCAACACATCACCCCTCAACCACACCCAAAGCCATCCATCTTATATACCCCCCATCATCACCCTACTCAAGCTAACCAACCATCCCCTACGTCAACGACAAGCCCAATCCACGACCCTAGCCATAAGCTGCAGGAACGGACGCATACTAGCCATCCATCCATCCCATGTGCGCGGCACGCAGCGGGATATACCCCAGTCGCCAAAGCTTGATAAAAGCTTGCGTGAGCTTCATCAGCCGTGAGAAAAGCTTAGTTACGTCAAGAATGGTGGGCGAAGCGGAAGGTACGGACGGGTCGCAGTCACACGTGGGCAGGATAGGCGGATGTCGTTCAACGCGCGCGCAGGTGTAATCGGTTGGGATTGCGCCAATCGATTAGCGCATGTGGGGCGGGGCGCATGCGCGTGGGTTGGTGCGTCCCCGCGTGTTATCCCGCGAACGACGATATGGTATGCGAAGAGGAATTGGTCTGGTGCGACGGCGATTGTGGTCATATGTTTTGAATTCAGGACTCGAATTGGAAGACAAACACATGGCCGACCGTGCCGTCCATAGGCTTTGCCTAAAAGGCAAGTCTGATAGCACATCACGGGATCTAGTCAACCACCCAACTTCCATCCCATCATCCTACTTCTCCAACCTCGCAGCCCTACTCTCATCCCTCCACCACTCGCATTGACGCCTCCTAATCGCATCTCCCTCCACCCTGCTATTGCCAAACGGCTCCATCCTCAATTGCAACCCCGGTCTACCCTCGCCCTCATCCTCATACTTTGGCCAAACCGGTACACCAGTCTGATTCCCCGCATTTGGATCGCCCAACGCAACAAAGTCGGAGAAGTACGCATTGAGTAGCTCCTTGCCTACTTCTGGGTACTGCACACCCCCCGTACCGGCCGGTTCCGCCCATGTGTACTTTGTGTCGGCGGTGTGGGGTATGCCTTTCCAAGTTGGGAATGTGTTGTTTACGGCGAAGACCATTTTGTACACGGGAACTGAGGCAGACGACATGCGCATGGCGGTTTCTTGGCCAGCGCAGACATACATGTAGTCGGTAAGCGCGGCAGAGATGCGGTTGTACTGTGTGGAGTTTGGGCTGTGGGCGTAAGGGCCGTTAATGTCGTCTGCTGGGTCAGGGTAAAGCTCCTCGAGATCGGAGAGGTCGTCAGTGGTTAGACCCGGGATCAGATTCTTGATGAAGGCGAGGAATTCTTCGTTGGTGGATATGTCGCCTGGAGAGTAGTACTTTGCTTCGTCGACAACGTTGGTGGTGATGGTGGGGATGCGGTAGAACTGTTCGTTGATTCCGGATGTTGAGCCAGCTTGCTCAAGGAGAGGACCGCCTCGCGTGGGTTGGAAAGGCCACGTGATGGGGTATTCTGAGGCGCGCCACAGCAGAGCGCTGGCGTTCTGGATCGCATCGATGGGGACGGATCGAAGGCAGCTGAGGATTTCGGCATCGGTGCTATTGGCTACTGCGCTGCATCCTGTGTAGCCAAGGTATTGCGCAAATTGCTCCTGGTACAGTGGGTAAGATGCGTTCGGGAACGCTCGAGCAGTCACACTGCCGGACTGGAGAAGAGCCTGCGAGAAGAGCGCTGGTGCACCCTCGGTTTTGTTGTAGTTGTGGAAGAGATGAATGCCGACTGAGTGCGCACCAGCTGAGCGACCTCCAATCGTGACGCGAGAAGCATCGCCTCCAAAAGCAGAGATGTACTTTTGGACGAATTTGAACAAGGTTTCCTGATCCCGGAGGCCAAGGTTGAGAAGTCCTTCCCGCTCAAAGACTGGAGACGGGAGGAAGCCCAGAGAGTTGACCTAGATGGCATTAGCCTGACTCGTGAGAAAACGATAGCTATGCTTACCCTGTAGTTGAAGGTGACGACCACAAGCGGCTCCTTCGAATTAGCAACGAAGGAAGCACCATCGAAGCTCCTCGCGCTGCCAGCAACGAAGCCACCCCCATGAATCCAGATCAGCACCGGTAGTTCCGCATCTTCTGCAACACCCTGCGGTCTAAAGACGTTCATGCTCAAACAAGCCTCATCCAGTTCATATGGGAGTTCGTCTGGATCCTGGAAACACGAGTAACCATAACTGCTCGCATTTCTAACGCCGTCAAAAGGCTCCGGCGCGCCGACAGGCGCGAAGCGTGCCTCTCCAATAGGCTGGGAAGCATAGTCGATACCGAGCCAGGCGTCTACAGCGCGTGGTAGAGGCTTCTTTGTCAGAGTCTGCGAGACCGTGGTGCCGACAAAGGTTCCGTAGCCAGGAAGCGTGACTGCAGATGAAGTGTTGTATGCCGCAGAAACGCTAGACACACTGGTGGTAAGCAGCGCGAAGCTGGTGAGTAGTCGCTGAGCCATGCTGGTGTGGCCCATGATGGCGTCGAGGCGGGAATGTAGAATTGACGTGACGCGCTCGCACAACGCTGTAGCTACGTCCAGCGGCGCCATCGTTGGATTGTATATAACAACATCCGACGTATGCTATACTTCCGAGATCGGTCGTATACCTTGTCCTGCGTTGCATTCGCATCGACGTTCGTCTCCACTCCGGACTCCACTACCCCACAATCCACCTAGTAATCAACGGTGCGATGGTCTTGGTACCTGCTACATGCGGCGGCGACGTACGCCAACGCGGAGATACGCGTTATGTCGGCTGTTATCTTTCATCGGTAATTCGTCGGCACTTCATCTGACAGCCGATCGGATGGCATCCGACGGCAACGGATGTTGATAAGTGAGGGCGGATGCCGATAAGTGTGGTGTTGGGAAAATGCAGATTGCACGAGCGGAGGTTTGCCGAGTCCGGGTAACGAAACCCCGGGGGCCGAGCACCCTAAGCCACGACGATATCGATACGAAAGAGACAGGTTGACTATGACGATGGACCCTCATGTTCGCGATGCTTTGTTTAAATGTATTCTGTCATTTCCTGGGAAACCGTGAACAGGTTTGAGGGATACGTTGCATAATGTGAAGTATCTCCGAGAGGGGATAAGGGTGCGTGTAGAGCTTCAATAAGGTCGCGGTGGTGCTGAGTGAGTTCATAATGCGGTGATATGGATACATGGACTTCTGGAGCCTTACTAATTGGATACGTGCTTGTCTGCGCTGGCGCCGAGGTATTGGGAATATCCATCATGTTGACGTGCCTGGCCTTAGACGTGATAAACCTGGAGGCCTCAGGCGACGTCTAACGTCGGTCACTTCAGTGCCTTTATCACCGTCAAATGATACTTATTAGGGAATTCCGTCGAGACAACCACTTCTGCGTTCGGCTTGTCTAGCTGCGCGCAGAAGTGCGGTCTATCTTCACTCCTAGAGATTCGATCCAAGCTAATGTTGCGACCGGCCCCATCAAAGGACGAATACCCTATCTGCAATATGAGCACTCCTCGATTGCTAGGCCGTCCGCTGTAAGGCAGTCCATGGCCATCCAAAGCCAAAATTTGCCCAGTAGTCAAGGGTCCGTTCGCGTATACTGATATCGTTTCGCCGTCGATGTTTCGTATCTTTCTCTTCCAGCCTTCTTTGTTTTCTGTTGGTGAAAGATGGATTCTGTGGGCTAGATTGGCCCAAACATCCTGGAACAACTTGTGTGGTTTCTGCAAAGCATTAGTATGTCGATATTGTGTATCAGGACCTGGAAGCTTACGCGTCGGATTTCGAATACAACATCCGTTTTGTGCGTCTCAGATGGATTTGTTCGGACAATATAGCTGAACTTGGTTCCATTAACCGCCCCTTTTCCGATGTTCAGATTGATCTTGGTGTCTTCGAAAGATGTTTCATTGTCGGTCGTTGAGGTGCTCCGTCGAAGCGTGAAATACTTCACAGTCCCAGTGAATACTTCTTCAAGAGTCAGATCTACATACTCTAGGACACTGGATGCCCTCTTTGGGCGCCACTTAGTGTAGGAACGCGTTTGTTTGACCCAGCGCTTCTCTTGCTCGTCGAAGGTGTACCATGCCCCAGGAAATAAGTAACTTTCCGAATGCGAGCATGGGCGATCCCGTAGATCAAGTAGTGCCCTTCGATACCTAGCCTTCCTGGATGAGTCCGTGGGTCTGCTACTGGGGGAATCCAGAGACTCCTGGAGTGCGCGGGGTGCGTAATTTTGACGCGGAGTGACGCCATCCTCAGGAGCTCTACGGCCTTCCAGAGACTCTCGCCTGTCCTCAGCCCGACTACTCTGCTCATTGATGATAGAGCCATCACCTGGGGAGACACGGCTGTTGCGGCGTATGCGATTATCGTCTCCGGAACGATGGGTATTCGAAGGCTCTTGCACACCACTTATCCTTCGACTGTTTCTGCTTGGGCGTACCGTGCGACCAGCCTCGCCAGAGCCGATCCCATTGCCAGACCTCGATAACGGTTGTAAGCTTTCCGTGCGTACTCTTTCCGCCCAGGCATGAACTTCATACGACACGTCAACATCGACTTCCGTCATTCGGTCATCAAGGACCTCATCTTCTAACGCGACCGCATCCTCCGCGTTGATGAATGTTGCGGCATCACGCCTGCCCGCAAGCACGTCCATGTGGATTTGGTCCAGTTTCGCCCGGATCTCCAGGAGCGATAGGTGATGGGCATCGGTGTTCCTCTCAATCCTAGATAGCGTACCGACATTGATGCCGCTTAGTAATTGTTGGAGCCGAACACTATGCGTCGCTATCTTCTCCCGTATCGCAGCTTGCTTCCCAGTCGTGAAAGCGAGCCTATCTCGGTACCGCGCATCGCGTTTGTCGAGCGAGCGGAAGTCATGTAGTATCTTCTTGACCGAGCGGAGGTCGGCTTTGCAGTCTTGCAAGCGCGCAGCGAGCTCGCCTTTCTGCGCGGGGGAAAGCTGCTGGAACGAAGACTGTGGGTTCTTGCATTCATCATCTAGAGCGAGGAGGAGTGTGCGTAGGGAAGCCACTATCAAGCGCTGCGTCAGGATTTGCACGAACTGCGCTGGTCTTAGCGGAAGAGATACTCACCATCTGAAGTGATCTCCTTGAAGTTGTCACCAGCGTTCTTACACGACTTGTAGACCGAGTAGGCGTAGTTGCCCACCAGGACGATGTCACCGATTGAAAACCCGAAGCCTGACATTATGTGGTGTACACGAAGTGACGCTCAAGCCATGAGGATGAGCGCTTGAGGTCATTCTCATGTCCGGTCAAGGCTGTGTCACAACCGATGTGCTGCGGCGAGGCTGAAGGATTGTGGCGGGGTTGTTCGTGCGTTAGCGCCACGCGAGCGCCTTCACCCCATTCAAGGACCTCGGGAAGAACCGGACACCTACCTCCTAGATATCTGTATCGTCGCATGTTCTTGCTGAACCTTTGCTTCTTATACTGACATAATCCCGGTGCACCTATCAAGTGAATTTCTTATGTAGGGTGCATTGCGGGGCGTTTGGGATATACCTAGGTATACCTGCATCGAGATCATCAGAGAGAGGTATCTAGCCGCGTTCTCTTGTCCTGCCACGTCAACCAAGAAAAGTCTGAACAGGCCTGCAGTCTAAATTAACATAAAAACCTACAAGATAGGTGACCTAGCGTTAATTCAAGCTCTAGACCTCTTCAGTTGTTTTCTTGTATGAGGTGCTGCTCTGCATGATAATTCTACTATCACAGGTCGCGTCTCTAGACATGACGAAGGTATCCTCTTTACTACATGACAAGGTCTTAGCAAATGTCACAGACATGAAAAAAACGGTGTCCTTGCTTTCGAACATACATGTTCAATTGATATTGCGCTTACAGCAAAGGCCGTTACCGACCCAATTTGAACGATATGCTACAAGTCTAAACCCTAGCAAGATGTCAAGGAGCCTTAGCTGCTTTCCCCACTGAACCATGACCGGAAGCAACGCCAACTGATAAACCATGTACAGTAGACTCCAAGATACCCACACACCACCCTAACTCCCCCCATCAAACCCCCTATCCAACTTCTTCAGCGCCTCCTCCACCTCCACCGCCCTCTCCTCCCCACCCCGCAAGCCCTGCAACCTCGGCAAATTATGCATAACGCGCTCAACCATCTCCTCCAGTGCTTTAGGATCACGCACACCACCTCCCACACCCGTCATCGTACCGCCAATCCCACCTAGGGCAGTAGCGCGCATGTTATCCCAAACAGCTTGGGCGGAGTCTGACTTGGCTTTGCCTTTGGTGGTATTGTTGCTATTGTTGCTTGGACTGCCACTGCCAGTACTGTTGGTGTTGGTGTTGGTAGTCGTATTGATATTGGTGCTGGTATTGCCGTTGTTCATGTTCTGACCACCCCCATTATCTGTCCCCTTCGTCAGCTCCGTATTCTGAATCGGCAATTGCTGCTGCTGGTGCATCGAAGACTGCGGCACATGTTGACGTTTACGCAGCATGACCTGGCCTTGTTTGTCCATGTAGGTTTCGTACCCTTGTTGGTCGAGCACTTCGTCGGGGACGCGGACGTTGACTGGTGATCGGTTGTTGCTGCCACTGCCACTGCCATTACCACTACCACTGTTCTCGCCTGGAACAGCAAAGTTCGCGTTTGGATGTGGGCTTGATGTCGCGGCTGGGGCGGCAGGGGCTTTTGCTTTCGCATTGGCATCTTGATTATACTTTTCCAGCGCGTGAATCCGGTCTTGATTCTCTTTATTGCCTTCCATGAGAAAGCGGAGGCACATGATAGCATGCTCACGTATGTAAGGGTTGTGTTCGTCATAAGAACAACAGTTCAACACCGCCTCGATACCACCCAAAGGACGTATTTGATCTTGAACATGCTTGTTCTTCCAGACCAGGGAGCTGAGGACGAGGACGGCGAGCTTCTTCAGATTGCGCCACTCGAAGTCTGAGGGCTCGTCGGCTGCTTCGTCCATGTAGGGTCGGGGTGAGGGCGAGGTGGGTGGGGGGATGTATGCCTCGGCTGCTCCGGCTGTGGTGTCGTACGGTCGTTCGACAGCGACTGGTTGTGGTTGTGGTGGCTGTTGTTGGTCTTGCTGCTGATGCGACGGAGGGATGTGAACCTCTACTGGGGCTGGAGGTGGTGGCGCGTGCTGGACATTCCTTAGAGGAGGCGGCGATAGCTGACCCTTGGGTATCGCTGCGTCCAGTTCTTTCAGTAGGGTGACCAGTTCATGTGAGATCTCCCAATTGCTCAGCATCCTCTTCCACGTTTCGTGTTCTGTAAGAATGGCAAAGAACTCGAGGTACTGGTATACGCCCTCGTACATGCGTTCCATATCCCACAGATTAAGAGGGAAGTCTTCGGGTTGCGCATGTCCAGCGCGGATCTGGCCTTGCAGGAAGATGAGGGCGCATGTTTGGGGAATGATGTGGCGGCGGAACTCCGTGAGCAGGAAGTTGACCATGTGGACATCGCCTTGGTCGACTTGCGGGTGGTTCGCCTTGAGGTGGCCCTTGGTGGGTTGAGCACGGGCTTGTCTAGCACGGAAGATATTTGTGAGAAGTTTCATGATGACTGCCTGAGCCGGAGAGATGATGTCCTTGGATCTGTCGTTACGTTAGTCAAAGTCCGTGTTTCCGATGGGTATACTTACTCAGACTCTCTAAAGGCGTGATAAGCAAACGGCAGTAGCTGATTGGCAAGAATAGCCTCCATAATCTTGACCATGAACTTGAAGTACAACTCTTCCTCACGCAAATCCCAAGCAGCGACAAAGATCAACAACTCGCGCAGCAGATTCCGGCCATTGTCCTGCGCAAGAAGCAAATGACACCGAACACCATGCATGCTCCTGACACTGCTAAACACGGTCGGATCGGAATGATGGCCAGGCTGTCCCTCCGTTGGCTCAACAATTCCAGCCATGATGATCATAGGCAGAACCTCAATCTCAGTCGGACCCAAAATAAGCGGAACGTCTGTGAGCAACCCTCGACCTTCATCACCAGGTATGTCATCGTAGTCGTCATCATTGTCATCGTCATCCTCTGGCGGAGGAGAGGTAGGAGACGCTACGTCACTGATTAGCCCTGATGGACGGTCGGGGTCTGGCTCCAGCCGCTTAAGCAGATCTTCTTTGCCATTTTGGAGTATCTCCGCACCGAAGGATGGCGGGTATGTCACACGGAAATCGATCTCACCTGCCGGGGGAGACCGTTTGATGCTGGGATCTAGTAACGAGTCATCCAATGCTGGTTTCGGGGATTGCTTCTCCGCTGTGGGTTGGGATGGCTGTTCGCTGTTGGACTCGTCGCCAGGGAGAGCTGTGATGGATGACCGCATCCTGTCGACCTCCACTTGGAGTTGGTTGATGCTTTTCGCCAGCGCCTGTACACTCTCTTCGTTCTTGGCATGCTGATCCACGACTTTGCGGTATGTGCTGGTTTGAGTGATCTGATCGCGATATCGGGCAACGACATCTGCATACAGCATATTCCATTTCTGAAAGTGTTAGCAGGAATCAGGTCACACGACAGACGTAACTTACGTTCTTCTCCTCTTCGCCCATGGTCTGCCACCTCCGCCTGCATTCGGCAGCAATCTCGTTTGCGCCCGCCTTGACACCATGATGTATCAGCGCCTTCTTGACGTCGTTGCCAGTCTCGCCAATGTAGAGCAGAAACGGCGAGGACGCAGGTTGTTGAGGGATCTTGAACGCGTCCAGACTTCGCGCTGCATGAGTCGGCAGAGGCTGCTCTTCTGGCGGCGGGCCTTGATCTTGTTGTGGAAACTCGTCCATCTTGTACTTCATGTCGGCAAAGTTGGGCAGTTCATTGTCGAGATGACTATCGAACAGTTCGATCCAGAGCATCAGTTTCCGCTGCTCGTTCCGCGCGATGAGATTGTTGAGGAACTGCAAACAAGTGATGAGGAGCTTTTTGTATGCATTAATGACGCCCTGCCATTTGTCTTCATCCTGGGTTCCAGCCTCGCCATCGTAGCCCCGCGCCGTAACGCGTACGCAGACATTGATCAACGCGAAGATGTCCTTGTCAAAGAGTCTGTCCGCGCTCAAATTCTGCACCCTCTCGCCATGTACCTGCACATTCCTTGCAATGCACACAAGCTGATTCAGCCGTTCCAGATCCCTCAGCAGACTCGGCGAATAGCTTGCAATGAGAGGGCCCGACAGACCCTCATATTCAGGCGCAGCAGGATCTGGGGCAGCGAAACAGCGGCGTTCGAGCGAGGGGATAGCAGCTTTGAGCACGCCCGCGAGATCGTCCCAGAACTCCCACGAGAGGCCGAGTTCTTCGCGCAACTCGAGGCTCTTCCGCGACTCTTCCAGCGTCTTCTTCACCACGTCGCGCTCCAGCATGCGCAGTGTGTCGTCCCGCACATAGCCCGGGTTGTGGAAATGAACGGTATAGGGCGCGAGCGCGAGGCGTAGTCGGGTGAGGTAGGGGCGCGCGGTCATGCCGGACGAGCTCTCGGGCCGCTCCGAGTCGCCCACGCTCTCCGTGTCGTTGATGCTGCCTTCGGCCATGGCGGGCTCCGTCTCAGGCTTCACGTCGGGCGGTGATGGCGCGCGGCGGTCCCAGTCATTCCACAGTTGGTGCTCGGCGAGTAGCGATCGGTAGACCCATACACGAATGGGCCCGGGTGCGCGGAGGATGCGGTAGACGTTGTTGGAGGCCAGTTTTTCGACTATGTTGTGGTATTGCGCCAGCGCTATGGGTGCAAAGGCGAGGTGGGCAGTCTCTTTGCCCGTGTCTGCAAACGGCGAGGGGAGATGCAGAGCAGCAGGCAGCGAATCGGAGTGCGTGGAGGAGCCAGAGTCGGAGGTCATGATGGCGGCGGCGTTGACCAAAAATTTACTGTCGCCTCAAGACGTTGCCCCACCATGGACCTGATCCCCCACCTGACGTATACAGGACGAGGTAGCGACCCCTCTTACATTTGAATGGCAAGCGTCACTCACGATGGTTCTGATCAATTCCACGCGTTCACTCACATAAAAAGCATGAAAAGTCGATTTATAACATTTTTCATTCATACCACTACTGGTATTACGAGATATGTACGGAGCATATGAACCTCGAGTAGGCATAGTATTTGGCCCGGCGAGTCTAGTGGTACCGCTTGTCTCAATCTTGGAAGCAATGTAATGTGGTCATGATACATGGTAATAGTATCTCCCACGGACA